GTATGGCCTGTGGAACTGTGGGTCAATTAAACCTCCTTTCTTTCTTTCCTTTTTTTTTTTTTAACACAGAGTCTCACTCTGTCACCCAGGCTGGAGTGCAGTGGTGTGCTCTCTGCTCACTGCAACCTCACTGCAATTCAAGCAATTCTCCTGCCTTAGCTTCCCGAGTAGCTGGGCTTTCAGGTGCCCACCACCACACCCAGCTAATTTTTGTATTTTTAGTAGAGACAGGGTTTCACCATGTTGATCAGGCTAGTCTCAAACTCCTGACCTCATGATCTGCCCACCTCAGCCTTTCAAAGTGCCTCTTTCTTTTTTTTCTTCTTTCTTTCCTTCCTTCCTTTCTTCTTTCTTTCCTGCCTTCCTTCCTGTTCTCTCTCTCTCTCATTCTCTCTCTCTCTCTCTCTCTCTCTCTCTCTCTCTTTGTTTTCTTTCTTTTTCTTTCTTTCTTTTTTTTTTGAGACAGAGTCTCCCTCTGTCACCCAGGCTGGAGTGCAGTGGTGTAATCTCAGCTCACTACAACTTCACCTCCCAGATTCAAGCAATTCTCCTGACTCAGCCTCCTGAGTAGCTAGGATTACAGGCATGTGCCACCATACCCAGTTAATTTTTGTTGTTGTTGTATTTTCAGTAGAGATGGGGCTTCACCATGTTGGCCAGGCTAGTCTCTAACTCCTGACCTCATGATCCACCTGTCTTGGCCTCTCAAAGTGCTGAAATTACAGGTGTGAGCCACCATCCCTGGCCCACCTCTTTTCTTTATAAGTTTCCCAGTCTCGGGTAGTTCTTTATAGCAATGCAAGAATAGACTTATACTTTGAGTCTCACCTTTCCTTCTTTGGAAAAATATCTCCATGGAAGTGTTATGGAGAATATTCAATAAAATTGAATGATATAATATGTGTAAATGACGTAGCAAGAGCCCAGTGGATAAGAAGCAGTGAATAAGTGGTAGCTATCGGTACAGTCAGACTCTAAGAAGACAGCAAATGTTTATTTTCAAGAAGAATTGTGCAGAAAAGGCCACTTTCAGTCTTCTATCTCCCCAAATTCCTTGAAGGAAGGATGATATCAGCAGCAAGGGAAGAAAGAAGAATGGGCATGAAATACTGCAGATCCTGCTAGCAATGAGGTCCCTCTGTCTGTGTGTGCCTATATCAACAATTTAAACCTACACACTCATGAGATGCACTGGGTTTATTAGGATGTGCATGTCCCTCCTAAGAAGCTGAGAGCTCCTGAGGGACAGGGATGGTGTCTTATTCATCTTCTCTCCCCAGGTCCTGGCTTAGTACCTGGCACTAACTAGGTAACAAATGTCTGTTGAATGCATGGACAAAGAAAGGTAGGAAAGGTATGAAGAAGATGGAGGTCCCAATCAGTAGAAATCTCAGCCACTTGGCCTGGGCTCCATGTCACCTCCCTGTGATTAGGCCAGTGAGAATGTAAGCACAGATGCCTAAAGAACGTCAAGCTTCCTTGGGACTCTGCCGACCAGACATGACATAAGGCTGGACAGCTCCTGGGGAACCTCCAAGAGCTGTCTCCAGGCAAAGTGGCTAATCACAGGAGCTGCTGGCTTGGCTGCCTCTCTCCCCACCTCATTTACAAGATTGGTCATCTCTGGCTTCAAAATGGCATTTGATTTTCAGACATGAGTTGATAGAGCCACGATTTTCTAATACTGTTCCAAAGGGGCTAACGTACCTCTGAGGAGCAGCGCAGGCTATGACCAAACTCTCCCTACCTTCCTTTCACTCCACTTCCTATACCTTGCCCCTCCACCTCTGCCCACTTTCTATTTCCTCAGGCACAGCAGCTTCTACAAATTCTGGTCATCCATCTATGATTCCATTAGGAAAGAGTACTGCTACTTTCATTTTCTTTTTTTTATACTGCCCTAGAAGAATAGCCCCTCACATTCTCTGGTAGACTGAAGCCCATAGCATGCTCAGAAAACCAGGCTTCTAATCATCGGCCGCTTGCTGCACTTCCTGTCCCTCCATCCTTGCAATGCACCTTTGAGGTAGGCATAAAAATCCCCATTTACAAGTGAAAAACCAAGACAGAAGAGTTTCAGTTTATTTCAGGCTCAAATGTGCTTCCAGTAGCTTATAGCCTCTACAGCTAATATGTGTACTCAGGTCTGAAACAAATAGGAATAAGAAGAGGAGGGAAAAGAGGAAGAGAAATTCTTTTCTGTAAAACAATTGTTTATGCAGCCAGCATTTGTTAAAATTCAGTTTGTGCCTACGGACATAATCTTTGAATTTGCTTTGCTTCTCAATGAATAACTTGGAATCTCTTCTAGTGAAGGAAGACTTCAAAGGAACATGGGAGGTGATTTTTGACTAACCATATGTCTGCTTTCTGAGCCAAATACATTCGCAAATAAGAATATGAGAGGGCCGGGCGTGGTGGCTCACACCTGTAATCCCAGCACTTTGGGAGGCTAAGGCAGGTGAATCACGAGGTCAGGAGTTTGAGACCAGCCTGACCAACATGATGAAACGCTTTCTCTACTAAAAATCCAAAAATTAGCCAGGCGTGGTGGCAAGCACCTATAATCCCAGCTACTTGAGAGGTTGAGGCAGGAGAATCGTTTGAACCAGGGAGGTGGAGGTTGCAGTGAGCCGAGATTGCACCACTCCACTTTAGCCTGGGTGACAGAGCAAGATTCCATTAAAAAAAATGAGAGGACATGAGCCTGAGGAAATGACAGGCATTCAAATCTCACCTGCTTGCTGATGACCTCCACGTGATTTCAACAATGATTTCAAATATTTCACTTTAAGTCAGTGTGACTCAAGTATGAAATTGGTTCTCCCTAAAGCTCCCCTAAGGCCTAAACAGTAATCGTTACCATAGCTGTGACAGGGAGACTGCCGCGTTTATGATCTATTCCATTCACAGCATAATGTGTAAGCTTATCTCCTGATTTCTTTGCAACAGAAGTGCACTTATTCCTCATATTCCCTTCACAACTTACTCACCAGACCAGGCTTTGAGCTCTCCTCCTGGCTTAGCATGGATCACTTGAAATGGTCATCTATCCTTTGGCCCCCATACCTAAACTAAAGTCTATGAAGAATACGAGGATTTTCTTGAGTGGGACTTTTTTGTTTAATAGAATAAGACATTAGATATCTCCCCTGGTACAGGACTCAATATTTTTCTTTTTAAAGCATTATTTCTCAAAGTACATTTTTTTCAAAGTACTTTTCACAGAACTTAAGTTTTCTTAGGTACTTCACTAAAAGCAAAATCTGTGATCTAATAAATTTGGAAAATATTGAGAATTAGAGCCCCCGCTTAGATATGTACTGTAGCTACTCAGCTTATTATGGAGGATGTAAACATCCTCTGTATTCCATGGAATGAGATGTAGTCCCAGCTACTCAGGATGAGTATTCCATGGAATGGAATGAGTAATGAGTATTCCATGGAATGCACTTTGGGAAACCCTATTATTCAAGAAAATTCTGGAGCATGAAAGCTACTAACAATAAATCCATTCACAAAATCACACCAGATATCTGAAATCATGCCAAAAATCTCCTAGAAATGGGTTGAATTGCCCACTTCAGAGACGAGGTCATTCTTCTGTAATTATGTGTATTGTCTGGTGAGTACTTATTATCTCACTGAATCCCGAGGACTATCTCACAAGCTAAGTATAGCTCTTTTCATTACACATGACAAACAAGGCTCAGCGAGGTTGGGTACCTTGCCCAAGGTCACAAAACTGCAGAGTGACAAAACTAGAATTTTGACTCTAAGCTCAAAGGGTCACCAAACCAAATTTGGGTCCACCCACCCAGCACGTCGAAGTCAAGCACTGATATTGGGATTGGTGAGACAGAAGCTGAGGCATTTATTGCAGGCAGCAAGCAAGGAGCTAATGCTAAAGGCCTAATCTCCCTGATGGCCTCAGTGTAACAGTTTTTAAAGGTGGCAAGGCAGAGGCTGCAGGCAAAGTCATAAATCAATACATGGAGGCTACATATTGCTTTTGCCAAAAAAGGCAAAACATTTCAAAGTGAGGGCCCACAGGACAGGTGACCATTAGATCGAGACCATCCTGGCCAACATGGTAAAACCCTGCCACTACTAAAATACAAAATTTTTCCGAGTGTGGTGGCACATGCCTGTAGTCCCAGCTACTCAGGATGCTGAGGCAGGAGAATCACTTGGACCCAGGAGGTGGAGGTTGCAGTGAACCAAGATCACTCCACTCCACTCCAGCAAGACTTTGTCTCAAAAAAAAAAAGTGTTCTCTGGTCGATGCACAGCGCAATGGGCATGTAATTTCTTATGATTAAGACCTAGAGTGTGTACAATATTACTGCAGTAGACACTGAGACTGAGTTAGCACTGTTTCAAGGCATCTGAGTTGCTCTGTTGGAGGAAAGTGCATATGATGGGCATTCATTTGCTTCCCCTATCAGACAGATTCTCTACCTTTGTCCTTCCTGCAAGATTCCCTAGGAAGCCGACGCCCACTGAATGTGGCACTCAGGTTCTCTGCTGTCTAGATTACAGTTGAGTTTGGTCGCTGCAGGACCCAGCGGAAACGTTGAAAGTAAGAGCAAATAGGTAGTTAACCATTCTTTACAATAACGATGGGTGTAACCTTCTGTGGCCTCAGCCCTGTGGGGAAGTTCTGGTGCCAGTCCCTGGGTGCTTCACCATTTTTAGTTAGCTCCTTCACCCTGTAAACAGCCCCTTCACTAAACCCTTCCCAGTTAACCCATTGACAGTGAAACCATTTCCTGGCAGGACTCTAACAGAAATAAGGAACCCACAGGCGACTGTTGGGTGTGCAGCCGACCTAGTGCATGGCTCTGCACTGCCATCTTGGGGGCTGGCACAGGCTGGCACTGAGTCTGGGGAAGGGAGCCGGGTTTGGAGGCGTGGAGGGGAGGGCTGTGCATAGTTGCTTCCTGATCGGCTCTTCAGTTGATTGAGAGTGAGGTAGGGAAGATTAGAGGGAAACTTACAGCAGAATTCAGGGCTGAGGCTGCTATTCTTTTGCTCCTTATAACTTATGATGTTGTCAGCGTCCACATGCTTCTCCATGGGTCTGGTCTCAGGGCCAGGTTGCCTCATCTTAGGTCCAGTGGCACCCTTACTGGCTTGGTGTTCTTGAACAATTACCTAACCTCTCCATACCTCAGTCTCTCAGCTGTAAAATAAAACAGAAGAGTAATAGTACCTCCTCTGTGGCGTTGATTTGAAGATTGAATGAGCTAGTATGTACCCAACATTTAGAGGCAGTGCCTGATACATAAAAGGCTCTCAACAAATGCTATCCTTTACTAATATCCTATGTGTCTGTATCAGTGTTGGGGGAGTGCGGGGACAGAAAGAAATGAGAGAAGGGAAAGAGATGGGCAAATGAGCTCTAAAGTCTCTTTGGCACTAACACAATTCTTTATTACGTGTTTTGTCTGGCACTTCACACTGAGCTGTTCCAGAGGCAATCAATACCTATTAGCCAGTTTTATTCTTATTTTTTCTGATGATCTTACAGGGGAGCAAACTGAGGCAAAGTACGAACTTACTTCTCAGGAATGTAACCATTATGTCGGCAATCACTGTGATTATTTGAACGGCAGCATCTGGACAAATTTAGTCACCTAAAATACAGAAGAGAGATTTCTCATGGTTAAAACGAAGCTCTTTATTTGCTTCTGCTAATTAAAAATCAGAGCTAAAGATACTTAAACACTACAGCTAAAATGCCATGGCTGTATATTGGCTTAATGAATTCTCCTATGAAATCAACTCTAAAATGTTATCCATCGTAAATCATGAAACACAATTTTTCTCATTCTCTTTTGAGCTTTACAATTCATCTTAAAGATCAGTGTTTACATTCTCTTCTGTAGGTTGTGTAATAACCTTTGGTAAGAAGAAATAGAAGTCTGACTTTCTTACTTATAGCTGTGTTATCTTTAAGCAAAAGGGAAAATACATGTTCTCTTTAAAATTTACAATTATTGGTCACCCTCAATTTTACTGAACTTACTTCTGGCCTTTTTAGATGTAGCTCTCTACATAAAACTGCCCAACAGAATTCTCCATCTGAATGCCTCCTCCACAAACAACATTTTAAGAACTAAAATCATCATCTTCCCTTCCAAATATGCTCTCCCTCTGGCCCCAGGGCTCTCCGTGTGTAGAGCTGACTCCGTTTTCTACTCAGTTTCCTCACCCCATCAATTACAAGTCCCAACAACTTTGCCTTTTTAACATCCCTCAGCTCTTCCAGCCCATTTCCTCTTTAACACCTCCTCCATTCCCCAGCTCATAACTAACTCTTACATAGATTACTGCAATCACCTCCCAAATGGTCTTCTGGCTTCAACAGCCTTGTGACCGTCAAGTTCATTCTCCACATAGATGCCAGAGTCACTTTCTAAAATGAAAATATGACCATGTTACTCTCTTGACTAAATCGATCTATGGCTGTGGTTAGGGTCAAGGCTAAACTCCTGACCGTGGAACATAAGGTCTTCATGCTCTGGTCACTGCTTCTCCACCTCACCTGCAATCAACACCACTCCCACATCCATATTCTGCTAACTGTGTATGGACATGAACAGGGTGTGGATGTTTCAATCCCCACACTGGGCTTTTTCAATCTCCTATTGCTGTGTAATAACCACCCCCAAACTGACCACATTATTTAATTTTTCCAGGGTTCCTTCATTGGGCCGTGTTCAGAAAAAGGGTTTACTGAGCTGGCAGGTCCAAGATGGCCTCACTCACAGGACTGGCTGTTGACTGGGACCCTTGAAGCTCTTGGGCTGAGCCCTTATCCTCCAGTAGGTTAGAACTTACAGCAGTCTCAGGCAGCATTTGAAGAGAGTAAAACAGAAGCTCCAAGGCTTCTTACATTCTAGCCTTGACAGTCATATAATGCTGCTTCCTTCCTTTTTTTTTTTTTTTTTTTTCTTTTGGCAAACCTGCCCAGATTAGGGTAAAGAGGCTCCTTTTCTTGATGAAAGGAGTAGTGAAGTCACATTGCATTTTCCTTGTAAAGGGACATGCAGACCACATTAGTGAGACTATGTGACTGTATTTTGCCCTCTGTAACATGGACATAAACTAAATGTTTTCCAAAAGGAATGGGGCAAAACAAAAAGGACCTTGACCACTCCTGTGGCCCTAATTAAACCCATGAGGTCTAAGAGTGTAACTATCCTGAGGTAGAAAGATGGTCCCATTCTGGGTAAGAGAGACCTGGGCTCTTCACTTAATAAGAAGAGAGCATGGTTATATTTATAATCACCATTCCCAACGCTGGGAGCTCAGGCAGCTACCAAGAGGAGAACAAAGGAAGTAACCAGGACACCCATCTACTCTAAACCTGTTAATTTAATCACACAGAACACTTTCATTCAAAATTCCCAAGGACTAAGATGTAAGAATGCTTATCAAAGCAAATGCTGTTCACACGGCTCGAAGCATCAGGCCTAGATCTCTATCCATCAGAAAACAACAGAATCAATAACAAGAACAGCAACATGATGATGGGGCAATTTCTGAATGGCATCATGTATATTATCGATACATGTCTGTTGCAGAAAATCCAGGTGAATCAAAAAAAGAAAATAAATGTTCTTCACAATCCCATAGCCCAGAGCTAACCACTATAAAGAACCCAGTGCGGTTTTAACTACCGGACCAAAAGATGCTCATCAAAGGCTTTCAGCTTTCCTGAGTCCGAGCAGGAAGCATCCAGCATCTCTGGTCTCTCCAAGGCTGCAGGTGTCTTTGCCCACAGTGTCTGTTTTATGCCAGGGCAAAAATCAACCTGGGAGCCAAGCCCAAGAATCAGGATGACCAAGACACTCTGGACAAGGAGGAAACAAACCCATCCAAGGACATTCAAGGACAAATCAAGCAAATGAATTCAAGGGAGACCTACTCATGATCACCAGTTCTGTTTTGCTGCTCAGTGTGGCTGGGAGACACAGTGGAAGATCACGCAGACTGCCCACGGAACTCCTCTGCCAGAGTCTGAGAGCGTTCTACTGTCACAGGCTAGGGGTAGGACAGTTGGAATTGATCCATGCCTTCCGGCTGGATTGTGAGTCCCCTCAGTCTTGGACATGGTGGCAGCCCAGCATCAGACAGCGGTCAATATCAAACTAGAAAATGTAATAAATCCTGTCAGATCTGTGGACCCCAGGAAAATGTAAACTGCCCATCATGGAGGAAAAGTTCTCTCAGTGATCTTATCTTTATGTGAGTCCCTTGCTGCCTGGAAACAGATTTCCTTGGAGATGGTCTGGTCATAAGATTGGTGAGGGTGGCAAGGAGGCGGCCTCTGAAGGTGGGGCCCTCTGCTCACCTGAGGCAGGGAGAGCGTGAGGTGAGTGTCTGTGCGGGCTGGGGAGGAGGATGGTAGCAGTGCTTCGAGAAGTTTCCATTTTCTCCTTATTAGATAATAATGAATGGGTGATTTCCCTAGTCACTGCAGTGTGAGGAAATCTACAAAAGTAATTTCCCAGTATGCTTGACAGGACACGTGGAGAAACCCATGAAGCACAACTGCAGTGGGTTATAAAAACGGCCTTTCAAGTTGAGCAATATATTAGTTTGAGCAGCCATTCTGAAGGACAAACGTGGGCTCTCCATTTCAGAGGGGCATTGCAGCCCTTCCCTAGCCACCTGGGTGACAATGGCTCACCAAAGCCTCTGGTGGCCACCACAGGATGCCTGAAGCATATGTTTTAAAGCTGAACACCAAACTGCAGACTTAGGGAGTAAGTGGGCTCCCTGGTTTGTATTTTGTTTTACTACTTTTAACATTCCAGTAACTGTTAGAGGTTCCAGCAGACTAAGTGGGTGGAAATGAGTTCTGTTTTATCTCGTCTCTCTAAAGAGAAACTAAGTCAGTGGACTAACACCTAATGAAAGCAGAGCTGCCAACAATAGAAACTGCATAAGATGCGCTGTGTGCACCACATGCATGCTGTGGGTGCCCGCGTGTGTGCGTGTGTGTGTCCTTGCAAGTGTGTGTGTGTGTGTGTGTTGGGATAGATTGGTAAGAAAATGGGAAATAATAATAATGTTCAATCCATAGGCTTTCATTCCAAAAGGGTGAGCTGTAATAAATGCCAGTGCCACATTTAGCCAAAACTTCATTTCAGCCAAAGGTGATATTTTCACGATAACATCCTGTGATTGCTTTGTTCTTCATCTTTTACGTTCTTCCTAGATGGGCTCAGAACATACAAGAATTAAGCACACATCTTATTTTCCAGTGATCATGCTACCAGCAAATTCTGTTGTTTGTATAACTAAACTAGTGCTTTGTTTTGTCAATTCAACAAGAAATTAGACCAAATGGTGGCTTAGTGCTGTACTGATCTGACTAGCAATTTGTTTTCACTTTTCTGCAAAATATTTAATACATTATTAAATTGAATTGTGCTGATGCCACAGTCGTTCTTGCCTCAATTGTCTTAAAAGTCATTTAATTTTTTTCCTTTGGCATGCATTATTCAAATTTTAACTTCAGTTCTCAATATCTTATTTGATTGAAGAGACTGAGTCCATTAATAAGGACTCCATGGCGCTCCATCATGCCCGAGATTTTGGTTTGTTTATTTCTTTTGTCGTTGTTATTGTTTTGGTTTGTTTTTGTTTTTTGAGACGGAGTCTCGCTCTTGTTGCCCAGGCTAGAGTGCAATGGCATGATCTCGGCTCATCGCAATCTCCGCCTCCCAGGTTCAAGCAATTCTCCTGCCTCAGCCTTCCAAGCAACTGGGACTACAGGCACGTGCCACCATGCCAGGCCAGTATTTGTACTTTCAGTAGAGTCAGGTTTCACCATGTTGGCCAGGCTGGTCTTGAACTCCTGATCCGCCCACCTCGGCCTCCCAAATGTTGGGATTACAGGCTTGAGCTATTGCACCCAGCTGAGATAGATCTTTTAAAGGAAAATTTATTGGGATTTTTTTTTTCTGTTTAAGAGCTTCCTCTCCAGGTGAGCATGTAAGAAAATTATATCAGGAGAATACAGTAAACTCTATAAGACAAGCTATAAGCATGTAGTGAAGTTGTGATTAGGGCTGGTTCTTCTTCTAGAAACATGGTAGGATTGAAATTTTATACTCTCCTTGAAATTAGAGCCATGTGACTCATTGGCCAATGACATATGAACAGAATGGCATGTAACTTCTAGCAGAAGCTTTAAGAATCTGAGATGAGAGAGTTCATACTTTTTCCATGTGCTAAAGCCTGATACCCAAGCCTGGGTCCCTAGTGACCATGATAGGCAGAGCTCCCTGTTAAGCCACGGAGATTAGAGAATGGCTGTTAACATAGCATAATCTAGCCCATCCTGACTAATCCAATATTAGCATGTATAATAAAGAATTCAAGGCCAGGTGCAGTGGCTCATGCCTGTAATCCCAACATTTTGGGAGGCTAAGGCAGGTGGATCATGAGGTCAGGAGATCGAGACCATCCTGGACAACATGATGAAACCCTGTCACTACTAAAAATACAAAAATTAGCTGAGTGTGGTGGCACATGTCTGTAATCCCATCTACTTGGGAGGCTAAGGTAGGAGAATCGCTTGAACTGGGGAGGCAGGGGTTGCAGTGAGCTGAGATTGCACC